CCCCCGCGCTCCTCTGACCGCCCCCGCCACGGACACCACCTTCTTCGAGATCGCAGCACGGAGGTTTTCTCCGCTACCGCCGCAGGAGGAGCGAGGGGACCGTGTCTGGTCTGGGGGCGGCGGGGATCTTCCTCGGGGACCGCTGCCTTCGGCCGGCTTGAATCTATCAGCATTGGCCTGACATGAGCCCTAAGGAGAAGGGGGGTTGCGGGGGGGTAATCCCGTTAGTTTGTTTGTGTGAAGAAGAGGCGGAAAGAGGAAACCTTTCCCTCCTATAAGTGCTGCTTTAATGGTATTATTGATATCTTACAGAGGATGCACTGTAGCTAATTGCGTAATTTGTAAACACTAAATTGTTTCCAAACTTTCAGTCTACCTCTGTTTTCAGTTTCCCGGTTCAGGCTATCATTGCACCAAATTTGGGCATTGCCCTTTTACACGGCCGTCGGAGACAAAAGCAAAACCATTTAAAATCCAGGCGGCAGAGTGCTGTGGCCAGCTACAAGCAAGCTGCAAGTACATAAAAAAACTTCTTCGGAGCTGGGAAAGTTTGTGGACTTGTGCTCGCTTCAAAGGACAGCACGCCGTAGCTGCAGGCACAGCGTTTGCTACCTGCTGAAAGGCTAATGCCCCCTTTTTTTTTTTCTCGAGGAAGGACTGGAAACAAGCAGCGCTGCTAGAAGCCACCACGCTGTGCAAGGGAGCGGTGGGATAGGGTTTGCCCCAAGGTCCTGTGGCTTAAAAACTCTCAGGGGAATGTTTAATCCAGGCTGCGAGGGCTGAGCTGCGGGAGGGTTGTGAGGCTGCTCTTTTCCAGTCGACGCGTGTGCTGCAGGCAGGCTCCTGCCCGCAGCTCTGTCCCCAGCCCACACGGGCTCCCCGGGCATTCCCTGCTCCCAGTGACCGTGTGCATCTCTCCGCCAGCTTCCATCAATGAAGATGAGCAGGGCATCATCCCACGAGCCATGGCCGAGACCTTCAGGCTTATCGATGAGAACGACCTGATCGACTACACGGTCCGAGTGTCCTACCTGGAGGTGTACAAGGAGGAGTTTCGGGACTTGCTGCAGGTGGATACAGCCAGCAAAGACATCCAGATCCGGGAGGATGACAAGGGGAACATTGGTATGTGTGGCTGCCCACAGGCTCCCTTTTCTGCCCGTGCCCGAGGCCAGTGTTGGGTTATCTGTCCCTGAGGGCAGAGCCGAGTCTTCTCCCTCCATCCCTCCCCTGCAGCAGATTGCTGTGCTTAGTCCTTCTCGGTGTTGAAAAGCCGGTCTGTACGGGCAGGGTGATGGCACCAGGACGTGCAGAGGATCCGCGTCCTCGGGCAGCCCGTCCCTCCCGGCCACAGCTCCGTTTGCCATTGCAGTGCTCTGCGGCGTGAAGGAGTCAGAAGTGGAAGGGCTGGACGAGGTGCTGAGCCTGCTGGAGATGGGGAACACAGCCAAGCACACGGGAGCTACCCACGTCAACAGGCAGTCGAGCCGCTCGCACACCATCTTCACAGTGACCATGGAACAGCGGCGCGGGGCCGGCCGCCTCCCCCTGCACCACTACCACCCCTCTGTCCCCGCCTCGGGCCAGGTCCTGGTTTCCAAGTTTCACTTTGTGGACCTGGCGGGCTCGGAGCGAATTGTGAAGACGGGAAACACAGGGGAGAGGCTGAAGGAGAGTATCCAGATCAACAGTGGCCTCCTGGCCTTGGGCAACGTCATCAGTGCCTTGGGAGACCCTCGCAGGAAGAGCAGCCACATCCCCTACAGGGACTCCAAAATCACCAGGTACGGTTGGGACCAGGACCCCCATGCTCCGCATGTCTCGCAGGCTCTCGTCCCAGCAGGAGGGAGGCTCTGTTTCTCCCTGTCTTTCCCACGCCCAGCCTGCCAGGTTGGGTGGCAGAGTCCCCAGGCTAGCCAGGAGGAGCTTACAGGGCCCGTTGTCCCTTCTGCTCCTACACCGGGGCTCTCTGACTGCTTGATGGGACAGGGCCAGTTGACCCACTGTGCCTCACGGCAGTTTAACAGGTCTGCCCTCTTGGTGTTCACGTAGGGAAGCTTGAAGAGAAATAAGGCCAGGATAGAAATGACAGCCTAGCTCACCGCAGTGCTGCCAAAGACAAGCCTTGCTTAAGTCATGCTGCCAAAGCTGAGATGGGGTGTCAAGCATGGATGATCCTGCCCCTTCCTGCCTGGCAGTGAATAAAAGACGCTTCCAGTAGACTTGTTTGATGGTCTGCAGTTACTTTTTAGCTCAAGCAGGTGGCCTTTGCAGTCTCCACCAGGTTCCTGTGCAGCATGCATCTAGCAGTGATCGCGGAGTCGGGGAGCTCCCAGCATTGGGAATTATTCATATGGAAACTTGCCATGGTGCAAACTGTTATTCCTTTGCTTAATGATTCTGCTCACGTCACTAGTGCCGAACTGGCCACAGAGCGAGAATATCATTTTCCTTGGGCTTAACCTCTGAAAAGGGTTGGAAACCTCCTGGATCCTGCATTATTTTGGATTTCAGCTATTTTAATTGCTGTGCTCTTCCCTAGGATCCTGAAAGACTCTCTGGGGGGGAATGCCCAGACCGTGATGATAGCCTGTGTCAGCCCATCCTCCTCTGACTTTGATGAGAGCCTCAATACGCTGAACTACGCCAGCCGGGCGCAAAACATCCAGAACAAGGCCATCGTGAACTGCCGCAAGGAGACGGAACACGTCGAAGAGCTTCACCTGCAGATAAAGAACCTGCAGAAGGCGCTGGAACAGCGGCACCGCTCCGAGACCCGTATCATCAACCGCTCGGCCACCGCCAAACGATGCGCGCCAGACCCCACGGCTCGGCTGCTGGCGGAGTGCGCGCATTACCGGACCTGCACCGACGCCGCGTACCGGCTGCTGATGGAGCTGCAGGAGGACAGTAACCTGACGGTGGAGCAGATCCTGCGGGTTAAGGAGTGGCTGTGCACGGTGGAGAGCGAAAGGAGCGAGCTGACCTCGGCCGGGCTGGATAGCGGCATCGAGAGCACCTCCGCGGAAGACCAGAGCCCCGAGGCACAAGGCTCAAAGCTGGCGAAACCCCAGGTAATGGTTGGGGTGGTTTAGCTCCGAGGTGGGGCTCATCTGATGGCCACTGAATGCAGCAGCCTCAGCATGGCACGGTGGAAGGGTCAGGAGAGGGAGAGGAGAAGCAACCCGGCCAAGAGGCTGTAGGGAGGCAGAACGATGTGATCCTCGGAGCAGGCAGGGAGACGTTGGATTCAGCTGCGGCCGAGAGATTTATTTCACAGGAAGAATCTGGGTCTGCAGAGCTGCTGTGCCCAGCATGGGAAGGGAAGGACAGAGGTGGATGCTGATGCTGGCTCTCTTGTATTTCGGGGGGCAGGTGAACAACGAGAAGGGGTGTGAGTCCATCAAAGATGAGCAGGTGGCCAAACTGCAGAGGCAAGTGGAGCGCCTGGAGGAGGAGAACCGTGATTTCCTGGCTGCCCTGGAGGATGCCATGGAGCAGTATAAGCTGCAGGTATTTCTGGGCTCTGCTCTCTTTGTAGACACCTGCCCCACTCCTCCCCTTCCTTATTCTCCAGGAGAGCGCAGCCCAGCTTTCAGGTTCCTCTGCAGCAGGTCCGAGACCCACGTGTACAAAACCACATTTTTCTTGTTGCCTCCTAGAGCGACAAGCTGCAGGAGCAGCAGGGTAAGATCTCAGAGCTGCACGTGCGCTTGGAGATGGCAATGCCAAACCTGTGTGTGCCAGGACTTCTGGAAAACCTTCACCTGGTGACCGCTGGCCAGAGACCTCACACGGCCCCGCTGGATGCTGCCCCGTCCCATGGGCTCAGCCGGGTTCCCTCAGGGCTCCTTCCTGCCGAGCAGAGTGGAAGAGCCCTTTGCAGGAAGGTGAGGGTACAAGTCTGTGCCGTTGAGGAGCTGCTGCCTTTTCACTGGGGTGCCCTCCACTGCAGGAACCGCTTTTTCCCCACCGTTGAATGTGAACCTTGTCAGAGGTGTAGTCCAGAGGACCGCGCTTAGTGTTCACATCCAAAGAGATTCACAACTCCGGCAAAACCAGCCCAGCTTCAAAACTGAGGCTTATACTTCGATGTAATGGGCGGGTCCCAGATTTGCTCAGCTTCTGAGCAGCAGAAGGCAGGAGGGCAGGCAGCTGGGTCTAGCAACACGCCAGTTCTCCTAAAAACTCACTCGACTCCATTTTGTTGCTTTTCTTTGTGTCTAGCAGTCATGCCCAGCTGAGAGCTGCTTGTTCTAACACCAGCTCTCATGCAACACATTTCCTCTCTTTTTGATTCTCTGCCCCAGCAGCTCGACAGCAACCCCTCCTTCCAGGAGGAGGACCTGGCAGGCTGGCACCTGAACCACGCGCAGTGCCCGACCGGCAATCCAGAGATCAAAGCCATGGTGCTGAGGAGGGAGCTCAGCCAGGACTCAGAGAAGCCGGCAGAGCTGTCCTCGGGAGAGGAGGAGGAGGAGGAGGAGTGGGAACAGAAACGGTCCCTGTCCCAGCGCCGGTGAGTTGGGGCTGTCCCAGCACTGTGCAGTGCCCCGACAGTTGCATGACCTGGCTGTCCCACCTCTGCATCTCAGCTCTCACGTAGGATGTAGAAGCAAACGCTGCCTCTGGGGTCAGCGATTCTGCTGAGACAGCTGCCTGCTCGCTGGGGAGCCAATTGCCATCTTTCCTGACCACGGCTACTGTTTGTCTCCTTCTGAAGCCTGGGGATCATGAGGGTCCTTACCGGGAACAGCTCTGGCAGTGCCCAGACCCAAGTGATTAATTTGCTGCTCCTTCTAGAAACGGGATCCAAAGCTGGAGCAAGAAAGAGATTTGCAAGTTGAGCGAGGAGCCAAGTGGAGGCAGTGCCCCCTCAATTCAGGAGGAGCAGCTGGAGCTGACAAAAGGCAAGTGGCGACCGTAGGTTGTTGGACAGTCTTCCTAGGGCTGGTGGTGCTTCACGGGCGCTGTTGCAATGTGTCCCACCTAGATGAGCCCAGAGGACAAAAACGGAGCAGATGACAGTCTAGCTGCTTCTGTTACAGAGGAACTTGAACTGCTGGGGTCTGGCCAGAGCTGCGTGTTTTGTTGGAAGCTGCGGGTGACTCTGGGCGATGCTGTGCCAGTTCTTGGCTACGCATCTGAGGTTGGATTGTCCTTTTGTCACCTGGCTGCTAAGACAGGACCTTCCTTACCCAGGAATCTGTGTTGCAGAGGTCTGCAGGAGGCGGGAGCTGCTGCTCGGTCCCTGGGAGTGCCTGCCAGGGAAGGACTCCGAGTGGAGGCTGGTGCAAGCACAGCAGAAGATCCGAGAGCTGGCAATCAACATCCGCATGAAGGAGGAGCTGATCACGGAGCTCATTAAGACAGGTGCAGAGCTGCTGGTGGGAACACGCATCCGTTCCCTATGAAATCTCCTCCTAGTTGGGATGCTTGGTCTCTACTCCCATCCTCACCTTCCCTCCCTGCGTTGTCTGTGCCCAGTCCCTTCCCCCGTAGGCAGCAGAGCACTGTTTCTCCATCCCTCCAGCTGAGTGAGACCCTTCCCATTGGTTTCTCCCCAAATCCCATCCCCGGAGTAGCTGAGGGCAAGGGAGCATTCAGTCTCTGTAGTTAAAAATACTTGAGGAGGAGAGAGGAAAGGTCCGTCCCTCGGCAGGATCCTGGCTGCGAGGCAAGGGGGCCTGGAGGTCACGGCGGAGGGGGGGTGTGTTGCAGGCAAGGACGCCCAGGCTCTGAACAGGCAGTACTGCCAGAAGATCAGCGAGCTGGAGCAGGAGGCAGAGCAGGTGCGGGCAGAGCTGAGCGACAGCCAGAAACAGCTCCAGGAGCTGGAGGGCAAAGAGCCGTGGGACCCCGGGGAGAAGCGCAAGCTGCAGGAGTACCGCACACGCGTGGCAGCCGCACAGAGCAAGGCACGGGTGAGTGGGAAGGGCTCTGCCCACCCAGGGAGGTGGGCAGGGGAAAAGTTAGGGGCATCTCTGCAAAGGGCACGGGGGAGACGCCAAAGCCCAAGGGCAGCTTTCGCCCTCCGGCAGGTTCTGTGCAAGAAGAAGCAGGCAACGGAGAGGTTGGTGTCGCTCTCGGCCCAGAGTGAGAAGCGAGTGCAGGAGCTGGAGAGGAACATTCAGCTGATGCGGCGGCAGCAGGGCCAGCTGCAGCGCCGGCTGCGGGAGGAGAGCGAGCAGA